ACCATTCTACCGGCAACACGAACCATGTGACTGCACAAGGAACGCACAGACAACTGTTGCTGTGAAGACGGCACACGGAACTGTGTGTTAGGGCTGCTGCGGCGACATGATCACTGCAGGTGACACGTGGAGCTGTGCGTGTTGCCATTGCCGTGGCGACGTGATCACTGCAGGAGACACATGGAGCTGTGCGTGTTGCCATTGCCGTGGCGACGTGATCACTGCAGGAGACACATGGAGCTGTGCGTGTTGCCATTGCCGTGGCGACGTGATCACTGCAGGAGACACATGGAGCTGCGTGTGTTGAGGTTGCCGTGGCGACGCCATCACTGCAGGAGACACATGGAACTGCGTGTGTTGCGGTTGCTGGGACGCGAGGGCAGCTCTGACGCGCCGTACTCCACGATATCTGCCTTGACAACCTTCTGCTGCTGATCCAGCTCCTGCTTGCTGAGCTTTATGCCCAGAATGTCAGCAGCTATCTTCTGGAAGCAGAGACTCACCTGCCCGATGCAAAGCAGACAAAAGGTGATTAACGTAATTACCATTAATTAATAATAATAATATTAATATAATAACATCAATCAATCGATTATTGTGTGCAGTAATCTTGGATTGTAACTAGTAACTTTAAATGTTAGTGTCAATACAAGAAACTAAATACAATGTGGGATGAACAATGAACAACTTAATATAATAAAGGAATAAGCAACTAATTCAGTAAATATAACGTGTGTTGTCAGGGCTCTATGCTTATGTTTAGACACTTGCCCTTTGTGCATGCAGCACTCGTATAAAAGAGTTTTACTTGCCAGAACTTTTAATTTAACCATTATTAATGCTATCAATTAACTTTCCACACACCACACAGTCAGCGATAACAAAAGTCAATCAGAATGACATTTGCATATTATATCACATCATCAGATCTAGTTAGGTAATTTTCCAAGAAATTATTTGTTGATTTCAAAGCTTTGTAAGTTGGCAATGTTACTACCATTCAACCAGACAGTCACTCATGCCTGACAGTGAATTAAGAGTAATCACCATCTACATTTGAGCTGCTGCTGGAGAAATTGAGTGGCACCTCTGCCCACTGTGGAGCCATCTGTCAAAAGCCCTCTGACCATTAAAGGCCTCCAAGTCTAGGCTTTCGATCGAAAGCACCATCAAGTGACCTAGCATACTTGTGTGCAGTCTAGTTCTCCAATCAGCTTTGATACATAGTGAAATACAAACAATTAAATACAGCAGGTGCGCTGTAATCTCAAAATGAATGCAGTTACCTTTAATGCCATAGCCGGTATGAATAAAGATACAATCAAATGCACAGATTAATCAAAGAATTTTCCCACAGCTCTAAAGCTACTCAAATCTGAAACACCACATAGATGCTCAGCACTCCCTCTGCCACTCACCCCATCGCCGCTCTTCGCAGCTATAAAGTGACTGGACAGCGAGTGATCTTGAGCAAACTTGACATGCTTCTCTTGTTTGACGGTGCGCATGTGTTCCAGGTCACCTTCAAAACACAGAAAAAACGACGCTGCCAGTGAATCTTAGTGAATGTTATCGCCTATCAACAGAACTTTTACCCTTGTATACACCTGCTATCATTAGGTTGGCACGTGGAAGCATTAGGTGTTCAACTCTTCCAACCTCACAATTTAGCCATCTGCAACGCTTTGCGCAGCAATAATTACCGAATGATCTTTTTCTATCAAAAATGTTTTATACTCAGCTCAATAGACTATTTTTAGTAGGCCAGAGATGGTCTCCTAGGTGATGCTAACAGAGCCTGATATTAAATGCTGTCATACCTATAAATAATTTCACTTAGATAAATTTTACATGTTGCTCAATATAAAAATGGCAGGCCATATGTTGTGTGTGAGGTATAAGGGAAGCATGTACTAACTAAAGCTCTTTCGTCGATACTTGCTATAATCATAGAGAACAGGCGAGAGGTAAGGAAGCGGCCATGTCGGAACCAATCAATGCTCCTACCTAATCAATTTACATAAATTATTTATTTTAAATACCTTCTAATTTTGATTGCTTATCCGCTAACATCTAGACAGAGATTGGCCAAATTAATACAGTGTAAAGTTTCAAAATGTCAATTATAAGATGCAGCCTTTTAATTGGAAGTTGAAACAAAATGACTTGTAATGTTATCATTTTAATTAATCCCTTACTAATTGCTGATCTGATTGGTTCTAATAGTAATTTGTGAGAAACTAATGAAAAGTTCCATTACAGCTATTCAAGATTTTGTACAAGGCAGGTTCTCCACTCAATAAAGTTCTCCATTATGGCTCCGCTAAATAATATGTTATGTTCTCCGTTTATGGAGATCTCTTAATAAAATGTGGCCCTGGTTTGTTTTTTGACGAGCTGTGCTCTCAGTTGCTTAAATTCATCACCAGATTGCAGTACCCGACAGCCATTTGCCATGCGGAATCTTACACTAGGTGAATCATTTTGGATTTCGGGTCGTACTTGACTACGAATTCCAATTGCTATGCTAATATTTCAGAGTTTAGCATAACCTGTCTTGTACCGCACATTGCATACGCGACGTTGCTTACTCTTGTTTGCTACGAGAGCAAGATGTGGACGTTCCGCTGACGCTTCAATGGTTTTCTTCACGACCTGCATCCAATCCTCCAAATTCTCAAAGCTCTGGTAGTTGGTTATGTCATATACGAATAGGACCCCCTGGAAATGTGACAGTAAAATATATCAGAAGAGCCACATGAATATTATTTTTATAACAACGTGACATAATGCAAGTGTAAGAAATCATTAGGATGATAGGAGAAAATAGGGAGACGGTAAGACAGTTGAGGATACACTCAAGCTTTTCCACGGTTATTGCTCTAATAAATTGCTCAGTGTGCAAAATGGGTGAACGTATGTGAAACATCTAACTGTTATTATTTACTGTGACAAATCCATGACTAACTGAAACCACTAAATTGGTGAAATGTTCTGTGCACCTTGAGAAATTGTGAGAATTACGAGGTTACCATCGCAATTTCAAGTGAAACACGTGAACGATGCGTACTGCATGACGTCACTAACCTACATGTTAATAAACTGGGTTTATATGTAATGCTATGTAACAAGGTGTAAATGCTATTTTCGACTGCAACAATTTCAACTATCACTGGCAGATAACAGCTGCAGTAGGGTTGATGCTGATGAATTCTGGCATAATGTATACCGTGAAAAGGCTGGTTGTATCATGTCTCTGATGTCATCATCAGGCATGAAAATGACCGGTAAAGAAAAACACTGAAAACCCCCGAGGAGGGGGGGGGAACCCTGAGGGAGAATCCCGAAGCGGGGGGGGGGGTACCCCCTCTCACGGTAGGAAGATTTTTTAATTTTGGGGGTCAGAATCAGAGGCGCCGGAAGTGGGGGGCGGGGGGGGGCGGCCGCCCCTCCAATCCAAAAAGTGGGAGGGCAAAACCAAAAAGCCCCCCACAAAGAAGAGTGGGAAAGAAAAAATAAAATGTATGAGCTAAGACTTGTTACAGTAATTATAACGTTCAAAACTAATTTGATTTCACATCGCATTTAAAGTTTTCGCTGCACGCTTTTTGCGTATTGAGCGCTCACGCGCAACATGAATGCACGGCGCTCATGCACACACCGGTCACACAGCGACACGGCGCTCCACGCACACACGTCGCAGCACGACGGCTCAGGAGCACACGACGTGCAGCAGCGACACGCGATCACTGAGCACAACACGTCGGCACGACGCAGCGCACGACGTCAACACACACGGTCGCGGTGCAACGCCAACACGTCAACAGGCGGAGTCACACGCGCTCACGGCACACCAACGTCGGCACACGTACGCGGCTCACGCACCACGACGGTCACACCCACACAGCGCTCTACGCACACACGTGCACACGGCCACGACGTCAGACGCCAACGCGCTCTACGCGCACACAGCACACGACCGTCACACAGACGGCGTTCGAGAGGCGTAATCGACACCGATGGGTGTCGCACACGGAGACTGCCACCCAACGCACACAGTCGAACGCACCGAGGCACACGTCGCACACACGCTGTGTCACGCACACACGATCACACACACGTCACACACCGCTCACGCACACACGCGCCTACCGCACACACGTCACACCACATGCGCTCACGCAACACATGCCTCACGTACACCACCGCGTTCACGCACACCAACATAGACGACTGCGCGCTTCACAGCACACACGTCGCACACACCGCCGCTCACGCACAGACGTCGCACACACGCACTCACGCACACAGCGTCGCACCACAGGACGCGGGTCACCACACACGTCAGCATACGCACAGTATGTCGCACACCACTGCGCTCTCACCCGCACGCACGTCGCACTAACGCGCTCACGCCACACCGTCGGCACACACACACATGGGCTTCAAGCACGACACATCACACACACGGGCCTCACACACATCGCTCAACGCACACGACCGCGCTCACGCCACACACCGCTCACACGATACACGTCGCACATACCGCGCTCCACGCAACACACGTCGCACCAGCTCGCGCTCCCACAGCACACACGTCGCACACACGCGCACACCACACACGTCACGACACACATGCGCTCACTCACACACGTCGCCACGACGCAACGATTCGGCAAGTGACAGAGCACAGCGCTACACATTCGCACCACACCGCGCAGCTCACGCACACACGTCTACGGGCTACGGGGTACCACGTCTAGCTTGCTGCCAGCCCGCAGTAAGAACGATCGATAAACCGTGCGCCTGCATGTAAGCACATGCCTGTTGGTAGATTAACGAATTGCTGGCACGTGAACGTCGGAAAAAAACGGAAAACGTTGGGGAAACATCTGGATCGAGGCAAAAAGCAGAAATGCGCTGAAACGCCGTGAAAATTTTCATGCCATGCATCATTGAATTAAGGGCCAAAGCGAGCTAACAAAACATGTTACTGCCAGGCAATCAAAACGCTCGAAAGTAGCAGATGCATCGGGCATATGGAGAAACAAGCATGCTACAGAGGTGGCACCTAGTGTTCCATCAAATAAAAATGAAAATAAAACAACAAGCCGCCACAGAAGCAGTCTGGGCTCATCTGTACGTCTGTTGCAACGGTTTATAAACAGTAGCATTTGAGAGTACATTATATTACGTAACATTTTACTTAAGTCGTGTGTAGTGACACCTTTGTCTTAGGGCCGCAGATATGCAGAATACGCAAGTGCGTACACTAGTCATTTTCAGCAATTTCTGCATTGTCTGGCATACCTCACCAAATCCATTGGTTGATACAAATCGCTGTGCCTGAAACTTCCTGTTTTATGGTGCATTGTCGACCCAACCCTAACCCTAACGCCTATTAAAAAACAAAACCAATAATTGTTGAATAAAAATTATTTGTTGTATTAAATTGGTTGCTAAATAAATCATGTAAATATGTGCATTAATGTAAAATTTAAATGTACAATGTAAAAATTTAGAAAAAAATTGTTAAATTGATAAAGATACGAAAAGATACAGAACAACAGGTAAATAAATAAAAAATCAATGGATTCGATCCAACAACCTTTGAGTCCGTGACGCATGTGCTGTACGCGTGTGGCTACTACCAGGTATTGCGGATGTCTAGATTGATGGATGTGCCACTGCAATATAGACAACACTGTGACGTCATTGAGGCAGTTCAGCGAATCCATGTTTAACACCTCCTCTTGAAGGTCAACAAAGGTTATCAGCACTTACTCTCTTGCACGGTCAGTGGAAAGCATATTCATGTCCTTTCAATAAAGTGATAAAAATGGTAGGTAGCGCTGAAACCAAGAAAGTTTCACTCTGTCCATTAGCGCATGTCCTCAGAAAATGGTCTGATATCTGACCTTTCCCTCCATGCCCTTTGACCTGTGACCTCCAATTCGCACTGTGATGGGTTTCCTACCATGACACTCATATCCCGAATATTTAAGAGCATAGGTCGAAGCCGTTAAATTGTGCCGCAATTCCCGATAATTTCATCCTATACTTAGTTATAGGGGGAAAATATCCCCCTCCTTTACACATCTTGACCATTTGACCTTGACCCGCCGCAAATTTTCACTGCCTGAGTCCTTTTCAAGATCCCCCCCGCACGTCCCAAATATCAGTGACCGTACTCGAAGCCGGTTAAGATCTTGTGCCCAACTGTTGACGACAGACGGACAGACGCACGCACGCACAATTCATGCGAGTTCTAACCAGCTGCATCTGACTACGTCAGGGGCTAAAATTAATAAAACTTTCGCATAACAAGCATCGAATGTTATCTTATACCTCTTGCACTGTGGCACCATTGAAAATACGACTTAAGTACACAAAAGTTCACTGATTCCTCGGCTATAAATACATGGAAAAATGGTCAGTTCTGGTTCACTTCAATTTACAATAAAATGCCACTTGGCGACTTAATTAACAGGTTACTTAGGAAAACGTTTTCTTCATATGGGAGGGTATTCTGAAATTTGCTCCTCACCATGTGCCCGCAAGTATATGTATTTGTCCAGCCATCTGTCCACGCAATGTCTGGCCCGATTCGCCGATACTTGTTTTAGTGCCACATGAACATTCCCTAGACAGAAGCAAAACAAGACCAATTCTGAATCTATGCTAAAAAACCCAGTCCAGACGTCATGAGAAACAAGAGAAGCAGCGGAAATATTTGGCCTATCTCAGAATACAAAAAACTGTTTTTTCGCTTAATTTTGTTCTTACTTTATACGTGTGGAACGGACCGATGGATGAATGGAATTGCGATTTTTGGGGATGGACTGAACTGAATGGAGGGTTCGTTTTTGATGGATGAATGATGGCTGGATGGATTGATGGGCTGGATGGATGGATGGATGGATGGATGGATGGATGAATGGATGGAGGATGGAATGGATGGATGGATGGATGGGATGGATGGATGGATGGATGGATGGTGTCGATGGATGGGATGGATGGATAGATGGATGGATGCGATGGATGGAATGGGATGGTATGGATGGATGGATGGACTGGATGGATGGATGGATGGATGGATGGATGGTGGGTAGATGGCGGGCATGGATGGGTTGAATGGATATAGCCATTTGCTGGTACATGTTAGCTCTACATGTGAAGAATTTATACAGTATGATCATTTCACAGATCAGCATCCATGCAATGCATCCAGAAGTTTTTGTCAGTGTAAGCTAATTACCTGCACGATGAATTCGCCTGAGGAAGAAATTAGCCGCAATTGTTTGCTTGTAGCTCCTCCAAACTGCTGCCTGTGTTAGCGGGTAGCGCAATGGACGGTCTGTAACGTGGCAGCCACAAATACGTGTTTCATCTAATGAGGAAGACTGTAGTAGCCTATGTGGGCGCCGTTAATAATGCCCAGGCGTAGATAGCATCATTGCTTCCGACGTAAAATGTTGACACAGATTTGGAACTTCAATGTGACGTTTTGGAAGGCCTTATAATATGGGTTATTTCCACAAAAAAGACAAATAATGTTAAGGACATAATTCAGGTGTTCTGTCCACATTTTTAAAACAAGTGACAAGTTAATTAATTGTCCTATCCTGTTATCAATGTAAAAATTCAATATCAGTAATGTTGACACGTGTAATCGTATGAAGGTACCAGAAGATTCGAGATATATATAGGACCAGTACTGGTGCGTGGCTAAGTTCACCATGGCATTGATAGGTGGTTTACTTTCATCTTTGTTATAGCTTGCATGTGTCAAAAAATAAAGACGATGTATAATAAACAGAATGTCAAAGTGTCGGTAGCATTTTGGAATTTTCTCGTGACTTCAAATTATTTATATTACTAGTTATCTATGTCTTGGGTGTCTAACTTAGACAAAAGAAGGGTATACACATTCACAATTTTAATGGATTTAGAAACTATGAATATGATAAGTGAGATGAGCCTGTGAATTTACATTTTCAATGGATAATTGATGATTTGTTTCGGATTTATTCAAGGCACCATTCACCTTTCGCGGCCCGTCTCTATGTATTGGGTTACAACATTTTCTGAATTGAGTTAGACA